AATTTTCGTTAACACGTTTCGTAATGAGTTTAACATTGAATCCATTAAAATATCTGCGATGCTGATTGGGTATATCGAGCAAACTGGTTTTGAAATGCGCAAGGAAAAATATTTTTCTGTCCAAGCATTTTGGAATGTTCGACCATCGTCACGAACTTGACCGCTTCCGTTTCTCAGATATTTCAACATTTTAAAAATCGAAATTAACTCGAACGACACACAACTGACAACTTATTACAAATCAATTGCCGTACAGCAGCACTTGTTACCACACAAATCCGTGTAGAGACAGTAATAAATTTAGGATCAATTTTTAGTATATTGTATTAAATGTCGGGTCGTTCGAGGGCTGCAACAAGTTGGCTCGCGGTCCGCAGTTTGCCTACCCCTGGTCTAGTTTGTTCAAAGTATTGTAAAAGATGCTTTACCCCAAGTTAGTTGTCCAACAAGAATTTAATCACCCCATGTGCTTCTTGCATAAATAAAACATTTGGCTAGTTTGTTTCATTGAGCATTTAGGACTTATGCCAATTAAGTTTTACACCTTATGCCAACGGTTCCCAAACTTTTTGTTTCTGCCATTTTACCACTTGAATAAAAAAAATGCTGCTTTCAAATGAAATATAAAACCTATTTTTGCGATCTTTAAAGTTTACTTTTAAAGTACGTAAACATGTAGGTCTGAGCAATAGAAGCAAAAAGTCGACTTTACTTTCTCATATCTGCCCGATTTTCGTTTGGAATGCTGAAAAAATCACTCATGTTTTCTAAATTTGGTTCAGCAGATAAATAAATTGCAGGTCGGGGAAATTCCAGCAAGTAGTAGTAGTTACCTCTATTATTACGTACGTAACAATAGAGACAGACACTAAGTAACAAAAAGGAAACGAGATAGAAAGGTGAAATAAATTTATCGATTCATATTCATACACCATTAATGATCAGAAACAATTAAAAAATTATAATAAATACAATATGTAGAATATTCAATCATATTTTAGTTATGTGTAATACAATTCTGTTAATTTTCTCGACGCACTCAGCAACACATTGCAAAATCGCATGTATTTTATTACAAAGTGATGATAGGCCAATTTCTGACCAATTATATTTTGGTTTCAACAACTCATCCCAATGGAGATAACGTCAAATACCTGACTCTTTTTGGTGTCATTTTTCGTTGATACTTGGCACATCTAAAATCTGTTTTTCGTCTGCCAATACATAGAGTGTCAGCAGGTCAATGATTCCCATAACAGTTTACTAATTCATAAAAAAAATCATTCTCTTCTGTATTGTTTCTAACAGACTTTTTGCAAAATTATTGTAAAACCTGAATTAATCGAGGATTTTCACATAAACTGTAGGTTTATCTATATAGCTGCCGACAGAATTATTATGACTCTAAAAATCCAATTTACCATTCGGATTAGTCATCTGAACGATTAGTCCAATTACGTTTTCATTCAAAATTGCAGTCAAGTGGATTCATTTGCCGACTATAAACTAAGCGTTGGCCGCCATAGGGCCAAAGTGCCCTCAGTTGTTAGCTGGCTTGGACGCTGGTAACTTTGATGGTCTCTCTGTGGTATAGAGTTTCTTTGAGTCCTCCGTATAATTCGATTAAAATTTGAGCATTTCAACAATTCAATAATATTGAAGTTTGGTGTCTTACCTTAATTGTCCAAACCTATAACAAAATACTATGTGCCTTGGAATTCGACAGTAAACTAAAAGTAATTCAAAACATTACGGAACATGCCAGGCAGCATTGATGGGATTGGAAAAATATATAGCATTAATAAATGCATGACATCTAGGAGGCTAGTACCATGATGAAAAAATTAGAGCTCGACCGATATATCGGCCAACCGATATATCGGGCCGATATTGCGTGTTTGCCGATATATCATATCGGCCCAACCGGCCGATATATCTGGCCGATATATATCAGTGTTAGTCGCTTTTCCACGTTCTAAAAAATGAGTATTTTTGCCCGGGAAATATCTGCGGCCGAGCGTTTTCTTTTTTTCGCTTCTCTCATTTTGCCTTTCAGTGAACAGAGTTCTCTTCTATATTTCTCTCTCTCTTTTATCTCTTCGTGCGGCGCAAAATCCTCGCCTTCGAATATCTTGCGTCCCAACTAGGCTTGCACGTAATCCGACAAAAAATCAATTCCGTAATTACGGCAAAATTGATTACGTAATGACCCCGTAATTGCGATATTTTTTCACACATTTAAACCTATCATAACAACCATTTGAATCCACTTCTTTTCGAACGGGACATCGAAATTGGTTTTCATATTACCGACAGTACTACACGCCGGCGACAGATGTTAAAGACAAATACCAAGGAGTGAATTCAAATTAAATTTATTCTGATTTTTATATTTTGTGTTGGCTGTGATTTTCCTTTATCATCTTCGCAAATTAACCGTCCCAATTTTATGTGATCAATTTTATCATTACCGACACTGGTATACGGATATTTATGAAACGATAGTTGGCTTTTTTAAAATCGACTTTCGTATTGAATAAAAATTTCGGGTTCCTAAGTTATTAATCAACGACAAGCGCATTCTCTCGTTTGATTATACCTGCGCTTGCCTCGCGACGAAGACTTGTTATTGCTACGTTTTTTACATTATCCGACTTTGCTACCTAGTTAGCATTTTATAATAATTATTGATGCTGAATTATTGACGATATTCCGATTACCAAGCTTCATTTTATATCAAATTATTTCGCGGCCTAAATGTATAACATTATTTGCGATAAATTTAGATCAAATATTAATTATTTAGCCGGCGATAAATTCTTACCCGTAACTCGTTGTAAATTAATGCTAATAAATTCTATTTTGTTTTTTAATGCGCCGTGATTTGTATTAATAAAGTGATTGAGTCGGGAAAAGAAAGTAGCCTTCTCTCCTTTTGAGGGCCCATAGCGGCAGTAAAATTCGTTTCATGTCTGTTTCACGGAGAGAAAGAAAAATACGCCTTCCGGAATTACAATCAACTATCACACATTCTTATTTATCATTATCAGCGCCGAATAAAAAAGATACCAAATCGCGAAGACAAAAAAGCCTGTCGGTGTTAATTGCGTTACGGTGATAACGCTCATAATAATATCGTTTTGACCGTGAAACCAAACGCTCAAACGGGGTGGCAACACGTCATGCCTTCCCCCACCTGCGTAACAAGAGAAAGAAAAACGGAGCGAATACCGTAACTGTAACTTCTTCTACTTGTTAAACCTTCATTTTTACAATCGACGGAATTGACTGCTTTGAAGGAGTACGTTTCAAACGCGAAAGCGCTCGACCAATAATTACGACTTTACGTAATTTGTAACGTAATTTGTAACTCGAAATAATTACGTAATTCCGTAAATTACGTGCAAGCCTACTCCCACCTACTACTGTATGGATTAAAATGGACTTTCAGAACCTTTTTACTGACTGCCTTTTTTCTTTGTGCTTGGTTTTTTTCGAACATTGCCTTCTGTGTGTGTTCTTATTATTTGCTGTGAAACTTTAATCAATGATGCAAGCACTGTGTAGGACTGCTTTATTTTTCAACATAAACTTTTGATTGATTGAAACTGAATTTTTCTTACTAGTATTTACTGCGGGTTCAGGTTGTAGATATCGGTATGTCGATATCGGTTATCGGTCACTAGTTGGCCGATATATCGTTATCGGTATCGGTGCCAAAAAGTGATATCGGTCGAGCTCTAGAAAAAATCCACTATGTCAAATGGAAATTTCATACACCAAAATCACAAAGCATAAAACTAGCTTAGATTGTCCTACTGTTCAAAGTTCGCGTTTGGCAGTCGTCGGGTGCGGTCGCATTTTTGAACGGCGCAGAAAGACTAGATTGACAACAATCAACCAGCACTGAAGGAATTTCAACAAGTAGAGACCGAAATATGAAATTACATGAAAGCATAAAGGCAACATACGGACATCATAACAGAATCGAAAGATGAATGCATCAGGGATTGATTCAGATATTTTATTTTGTGACAAAGAGTATCATATTGAATTGCAGACTATCAGCAGATACTGCTATTTCTAGAAATTCCGCTTGAATACGAAATGAGTATTCAACTATATATGTGTAAATAGTTTGTAGTTTAACATATGACCATATCAATGCGCAACATTTTTAAACATTCATTTAATGGCATATTTTTGATTTGTTCTCTCTGTGTGTATACCGGTACTGTTTTAACAATGACATTGAATTAGGCTACAGACCTGCTCACTTGTGGTTAGTGTTTACCTGATAATTGCTTTTATGAGTGTCCGCACACCGAATTTGCCGCTATGGTTTTGCGTTTGTTTGTATATTAAACCACTTATCACATTTTCCGCAATGCCCAATCTAGCAATCAGTGTAGTTTTTCATGGCTTGGTTTTTCTTAAAGCTTTCATGGCTTCATGAGCATGACTATCGTCGCAAATTTATTACATTCCACTCCCCACATTTTCTTTGCATGAGGTTGTAGGTATTGGTCATTATCAACGTAAATGTTTAAAGTACGACAGCCCGAAAGTTTAATACTATCGTGTATTTTGATTGTTAAGTTTGGCCTAAGCCTCATTTGATTGGGCTTGTGTTTTTGTGTGCGTGCTGGTGGCCAGGCACATGAGATACTGTTACATGCAGGAATTTAACTTTCGGGAATTAACCCATTAATTTTAGTTACTCTGGTCCCGATAAACATGTTTAGACTTGCTCTCGTTTATTTATTTGTTTATATTAAGTGTAGAAGCTTGACGGGGTGTGACCTTATGCTACTACATACTGCTTGCTACACAAAGACGAAGGGCGCTGAACCGTGCGCCAATATTTTCCAGTCTAAACGCTCTAGTCTATCCCAATACAGCAATATTTGTCTATGTTCGGTCCAGACAATCCTCTCCAAATTATCCCGTCTTATAACTGAGATAAGCAAGCTGAAGTCCACAAGCCCACAATACGCAACTTTAAACACAGGAGAATTGTAATGTGTCGTGAAATTATCAAACACTTGCTCAGCACAAAATATATAATCGAGATGTCAGATGGAGTCAAATTGATTACGGAAACAGATGACGAATAGAGATGAGATAGAGGTTTTCTAAAGAAAACAAAATACACTATAAACACTATGAATTTGCCGCATAAATAACCAACATGCTTACCGACTGTTTTCAGCCAAGGTCAACAATATATCGAATCTTTTGTGTAACTGCAGAACACTGAAACAAATATGAACAAATAAGCACTACATTAACAGTACTGAACCCCACAACATTAATTGTGGCAATAAATACACTCAACAATAATATTTCACAAAACAATCAAAACGCAGGACAGATTCACAAATTGCAGTTCAATAATCCAGAGTTCAATGCAGCAAATTTTAAACTATTAGCAAGTTAAATAAGCATGAAACAAAGGAAATCATCATTAGCCCATTATCATTAATATGATACAGCTTTTTCTAATGCTAAATCGCAATAGAAGTAACGCATTACAACAGCAAACTAGCTGTGCACATTTACAATTTCGGCCCTAACGCGAGGCGATACAATAACGATGTAAACACGCAAATTGCAGTAGACAGGAACCTTTTCGGCTCGGTCTACAGATGGTCTACGCTCGCTCTACGAAAAGATGCAAACGTGTCAGCAATAAAGAAATAGACACTACCGGCGCTGGATATCTAACATTAAAGGTGAGTTATCACGCAAACATTTTTGTGGGAAATTTGATTCTACATATTTTTTTAGGAATTTCAACGTTTACCGCTTGCATAAAGTGGACTTAGTTTTCTACTTTTGAATTTTTAAAAACCGCTTCAACGAAAATCGACCCAGGTTCGGAAACGGCCTTTGATGACGTAGTAGTGAGAACTTATTCCAGAAATTAGCTCCCTCGCCATTGGCGAGTAAGGTGTTCAACCTCTGTTTTTGGCGTTTAAATCTAGTTTCTCATTGCTTAGTTTAATAAAGATTGAAACAATAATGTATTGTTAAGCATGAATGCTAATGCATAAGAAGTTCTGAATGTGAGGGCATCAAGCCACGGCGTTTTATGTAATGATCGTACCGGTACGTCAGGAGGCTTTGAAGAACTGATTCTAGAGTAAGTATTTACCACTTTATTTCGTTTATCGACTGTTTGATAAAATATTCAGTCAAAGCATGATGATACCCAGTCACACTTTTGTATGAACCAAATACAAATCGCCAATTTGTACATTTACCAAAAGAGTGATAAGGCATGATTATCATGTCCGCTGGGACCGGTCCAGCAGACCACATATGGGAACTATTTCACGCTTCAGTGGTTCGCCTGCGATTCAAATCCGTGCTATCGATCAACAACATCAGACCACCTATCGAGGAGGTCTGGAAGTGAGCTGCACTGGTCTTGCTCAGTTGCCTCATCCTGCTACTCGAGCTATCGCAGTTACGTACGTTGATCGAAGGGGTATGGAAGTTGTTTTCCTTTTCATCCCTGGTAAGTGAGTTGTTTTTTTCAACAAATAAAAATTCAGCTAGATAGTGCAAGTTTAATTTAAACATCTTCCGCATCAATTCGGTCGCTGTTGTGCCTGTTGAACCCAAATTTGAAATACCGGTACCTGTACTGGTGGGATCCCGGTGCGGCATGCTGGGTTGTTGTTCTGAAATAGAAAATAAAATCTCAATGTCTAAAGATCATTGGTAGGAACTGAGCGCAATAGACCTATGTTGATAAACTTCAGTTTGCATTTATGGAATTTCGCCATACAGCCATACCTCATCCTAGCTGGCACCGGTAACCTAGCTGTACATACCGGTACAAATTCAATGCTTCAGCGGTAACGTCGCAGTAGTAGGGCGATATTAAATAATGAAAGTGCTTCTATTTACATATGATGAGCCCACTTCACACAAAGTGTTCGATTGATAAACTGTAAATATTTAAATTTGGTTCCGAGTAGACAACTACCGGTACCATTTAATGTAGAATCCCAATAATGGCTCAGTTTTTTTATATTCATTTCACATTATTATGCAACAAAACACTGTTGTATGTTGAACCTTACCAAACCGTCTGTTGATATAATCCTGATTTTTATGTCAGTTCTATCAATTTAATTTGTATACTCCGTTTTCCAGTGCACTCTGCTATTAACAACACAGTCCAGATGTTATCGATCAACTAATGGATATTCGTGACAACACATTTATTGGCGTGAATGAATTACATATGATGAAAACTTGTAATAAAATGTTAAAAATAAATAAAAACTGATTTGAATAACTGCGTGAAGTATTGTTGTTTCGGGCTGTGGGTAGAAGTTTGCATGGATTCTTTCGACCTAGATGTCTTCTTTTAGTTCCATGGAGAGACATCAGAAAAGGTTACTTGCGAAAATTGTATCCATAGTTTTCTCCTTGTTTTCTGCATCAAGACAGATCCGTCCCTGTGAAATCTGCTGTAACCACCAACTACACATTCCATACGTTATATACCGGTTCAGTTAGTTTATATATACCGAAAATATAATAAAAAGACTAGTTATAGGATCAGATAAGCAAAGTAAACACAATGAATTATAAAATCTAGATCATTTGAGACAAAAAATGGCCTGGTATGCGCTCTTTTACTAGAAAATATATTGCAGCAAAAGGTCCCTGCACAGAACTCGGGTACGCCTTGACCTCGATTAGTGGAGTTTACTGCAATTTCTCATAATGCAATAATATTATTTAAAGATATTGGTATTGATTTAAATCACAAAAGCTTCCTCCAAATGCGCCGCACAATAGAACTAGCACACGGTTCAAAATGAGTACACAGATTGCTATAATTGCCTTTGACCTAATGCAAAGTTTCGCCGAGTTCTCACCACTACGTCATCAACGGGACATACTAATTTGCGTTCGATTTCGGCAGGGTTGACTTGATAAATTATATAGAATCAAATTTGCTACAAAAATGTTTGCGTGATAACCCATCTCTCTTCCAGCTGTTGACCCAATTTTTTTGACATGGTCTTTTTAAAGGTATTTTTTTTGTCAACCACTAAGCCCTAAAGCTTCTCTTATGGATTTTTGAAAGCGTGTGCTAGAGTTCTATTCAGCAATATATCTTTAAAACACACTCCGAAAAAAATTTTTTTTGCAAAACTATCTCAAAAATTTCTAAAAAAAAATTGGACCTTGAGAAATTCTGTGTACAGTAGAGGGTTAATAATTAATTCCTAATTAATTAATTTTTCTTTCAACGTTTTCGTCAAGTTTTTCCTAACACAACATCACCGAAACGCCTATTTAGCATAAATGGTTATTACTCTGAAATTCACAATTGTATTTACAGGTGTATCAAGGCTAAAATTACTGATTTTGCTGACGTCACAGCTCTTATTATTACTGCACAGACCACCCCCAACGCAAAAAAATTAAATTTTTTCGACGGAAATGCGCGTAGAACGGCGTAAACAATCCCATACGCGCATTTACGCGTTAAAATTACCATTAATTTTACGTTTTTTTTAACTACAAAAAATCTCCATACTTCTGCCAACTATGGAGCAGTCGAAATCCTATTTATCAAAACAACACAGCGCCAGGGATGATCAGGGATAGTATATATGACTGAAAATACATGCTAAACCAACAATAAGTCATTATAAAGGAGTATTTCCTGTCTGAGCTGAGTCGACATTTTCAGACGTCTGACAGGCGATTTTGAAATCCACGCTATTTATAGAATTCGCACTTTGCGTCACGGATGGAAGGTTCTATCGCTTCTCTCATATCAGGCGATAAAGTCAACAAAGAGCTAAGAGCGATATTAACAGTAGTTTACCGAGCACAAAATTAAGCGTGAATATTCTCTCATATGAGCTTAGCCGCCGTAAGAGGGTTGAGCCCTGACCGAGAGAAAGTTTTGGCAATGATGGTGCAATACTCTCTTATATCAGCTGATTTGTATTCATGCCCTTGGTATTCTTATTGTATCATACTTGGTGTCCTATTTATTAATGTGCGAAGACAGTGCAATGAGGCCTGGTCTCATGAATTTCTTTGTTAGCTTCTGCGGCATTGTTTTGCAAATTGTAGGTTTTCAATTATGCTAATTTAGGATTGTTAAGATATTTAGGGAAGTTTAGCGTTACTTAGTAATACAAGTTCTAATTGAGTAGTATATCCGAGACTTAATATGGTATTTTCTTGTTTCTGTGTCTTGTAGCTAAATTTAAGTACTGTTGTTGGGCTGGAGAGACAAATATATTGTAACCATACACTACATCACCATATTCACATCATACGTTATACATACATATATATTCACTGTGCTACACTGCCGTTATACTTGCTGTGGAAATTTATCTACTGTGGAACTTTTACCTGATTGTGGAATTTTACTGGACTGTTACTTGTAAATACTGTAAATATACTTTCATTACAAGTTCTTTCATACAAGTTGGATGTGTTTATGTGTGCGTTACTACTGTGTCGAGAGTTAGCTACAGAAGATTGACAAGACAGCCCAATATGCAGAAATAGAATCTGTAGAACCTCCAACTCTACAGATACTTCTCGTGTTTTAAATTTTTTTATAGGTTTTGCTTGCCCTCCAGAACTCTCCATTTTTAATTTATGTTTGTTATGGAGTTTTGGAAATAAACTATCTATCTATCTACTGTGATTGTTGAAATGTCTGCCGATTTACGCAGATTTGTCATGATTGTGCTTTATTTATTATTGAACTGCCTATATATTGTGTTTTATTGGTCACTTTAAACTTTATATAGTGATTTTGATGCACATTTTGTAACGAACCTGTATTTACCCAGGGGGGTGGAAAGCCCATGAGATGGCTTATTCTTATGGCGTACAAAGGGCACTCGCCTTGTTACCAGTCCATGTCGGGTATGGGATTAGTGGGCCAGTTACATGTTTTTTTATTCATATTATCATTCATATCAATTTTTTATTTTATTTATATTGTTTTGTATGGGTACATTTCAATTTTTCATATTTTGTTGCCATTTGTTCAAATTTCAGCCTATATACTTGAGATCTTCTTGTGCATTGAATATTTTCAACAGAAATATACCTAGTGGCAATCATATGTGTACCACAGGCGCTCTCCTTGTTACCAGTCCATGTCGGGTACGCACAGTGGAGTAGCAAGACTCTCGACTCCCTGGCATTGTTACGTAACAAAACGATTTGAGCAGAACTAACATCAACGTTATAAG